TGGTGATGTGCCCTCACTAGTCCCTGTCCACATACTGGCAGCTGGTGATGTGCCCCTCACTGGTCCCTGTCCACATACTGGCAGCTGGTGATGTGCCCTCGCTGGTCCCTGTCCACATACTGGCAGCTGGTGATGTGCCCTCACTGGTCCCTGTCCACATACTGGCAGCTGGTGATGTGTTCCCTCACTGGTCCCTGTCCACATACTGGCAGCTGGTGATGTGCCCCTCACTGGTCCCTGTCCACATACTGGCAGCTGGTGATGTGCCCTCACTTGTCACTGTCCACATACTGGCAGCTGGTGATGTGACCTCACTGGTCCCTGTCCACATACTGGCAGCTGGTGATGTGACATTCACTGGTCACTGTCCACATACTGGCAGCTGGTGATGTGCCCCTCACTGGTCCCTGTCCACATACTGGCAGCTGGTGATGTGCCCCTCACATGTCACTGTCCACATACTGGCAGCTGGTGATGTGCCCCTCACTGGTCCCTGTCCACATACTGACAGCTGGTGATGTGCCCCTCACTGGTCCCTGTCCACATACTGGCAGCTGGTGATGTGCCCATCACTGGTCCCTGTCCACATGCTGGCAGCTGGTGATGTGCCCCTCACTTGTCACTGTCCACATACTGGCAGCTGGTGATGTGACCCTCACTTGTCACTGTCCACATACTGGCAGCTGGTGATGTGCCCCTCACTGGTCCCTGTCCACATACTGGCAGCTGGTGATGTGCCCATCACTGGTCCCTGTCCACATACTGGCAGCTGGTGATGTGACCATCACTTGTCACTGTCCACATACTGACAGCTGGTGATGTGCCCCTCACTGGTCCCTGTCCACATACTGGCAGCTGGTGATGTGCCCCTCACTGGTCCCTGTCCACATACTGGCAGCTGGTGATGTGCCCCTCACTGGTCACTGTCCACATACTGGCAGCTGGTGATGTGACCATCACTTGTCACTGTCCACATAACGACAGCTGGTGATGTGCCCCTCACTGGTCACTGTCCACATACTGGCAGCTGGTGATGTGCCCCTCACTGGTCCCTGTCCACATACTGGCAGCTGGTGATGTGCCCTCACTGGTCCCTGTCCACATACTGGCAGCTGGTGATGTGCCCCTCACTGGTCCCTGTCCACATACTGGCAGCTGGTGATGTTCCCCTCACTTGTCACTGTCCACATACTGGCAGCTGGTGATGTGCCCCTCACTGGTCACTGTCCACATACTGGCAGCCACTGTCCACATACTGGCAGCTGGTGATGTGCCCCTCACTGGTCACTGTCCACATACTGGCAGCTGGTGATGTGCCCCTCACTGGTCACTGTCCACATACTGGCAGGTGGTGATGTGCCCTCACTGGTCACTGTCCACATACTGGCAGCTGGTGATGTGCCCCTCACTGGTCACTGTCCACATACTGGCAGCTGGTGATGTGCCCCTCACTGGTCCCTGTCCACATACTGGCAGCTGGTGATGTGACCCTCACTGGTCCCTGTCCACATACTGGCAGCTGGTGATGTGCCCCTCACTGGTCCCTGTCCACATACTGGCAGCTGGTGATGTGCCCCTCACTGGTCACTGTCCACATACTGGCAGCTGGTGATGTGCCCGTCACCTGTCACATATTGGCAGCTGGTGATGTGACCGTCACTTGTCACTTTTCACATATTGACAGCGTGTAATTATCAGTTCAGTTACCATTAAGCAGAAACCTTTGAAAAGTTGGCTTGTGTTCCAAGCCAAAACCCCAAACCCAAGACATGCCAAACAAACCCAACAACAAGACATATTGAATGTTCTCAGTTCATAAATATTACACATGGTCAGGGCTGTTGATCGCAAACAGTGACACTGGCCAAGTGAATATGACATGTTAAGGAGGTCACATGCAGTCATAACACTTGGAGTGATTGGAATGTAAGACAGCAATATCTGTACACAGTGAAGAGCTTATGTTGGAATGCCCTTAACAGTAATCCCATTGTGCCATGTGCATGTTAGACACGAGGACATCATCTCCCTCACATGCTGGGGTACTTCAGCTGCATCCCATAAACTAGACTAAGGCTTAGTCTCTGAATATATATAATTTTGATAGTAACAAACACACCCATTTAAATTGAAAGGAGCCCCAGGGAGACCAGAGATTCAGAACCTGAGGAAATCTAGACTTGCTTTATTTAGGGCTTTAGCACTGCAGAGAGAGCTTAGCAGTGGGGAAAATAATGTGGTTCAGGGACTGTGAGACAGACTACATTGCAGGGAGGGCTAGGTAGTAGGGAAAATAGTGTGGTTCAGGGACTGTGAGACAGACTGCCCATAAACAACCCTACTCACAAACACCAACTGACTGCCATTGCTCCCAAGCTCCCTACATATTCTGATTAATGATTTTAACAATGTCTATTTTATTGTGCTTTTTCATTCCATCAACCAATGATGATGTTTCACAAGCAGTATTAAAGGTCATTTTAAGGGTTTTGAAAATGTTTATCTTTATTGACTTCTAGGCGGTACAGGTTCTATCTTGGCCCTAGGTACTCTGTGAACAGGAACAACAGGCTGATCTCTCCTCCCACCCATTGTGTGTATGTCTACACAACACTTGGATCCTTACATTTATAGTGAAAACAAGTATTTGTCTGATATATATTCCTGGAAAACATCTTACTGACAAGACAGAAATTTCCCTCATAAAGATACTCCTCATGGAGCTGAGAATACTGGTTGTACTACACACAGATCATGGACAGTAATGTTCTCTTTGAACAGACTCATGTGGAGTCTGAGGCTTCCTGTATAAGTGGGCATGGCGGTGTGGTTGTTATTGTTGGTAAGATTGTTAGTGACACTCCTGACTGTAATTATCAAGAACCTTGAAACTATCACATTTTATGGCCGTTATTAGCTTGATGTGGAACAAAGTGAGTCTTCATGGAGTTTTTATGACTCCCATATAGTGGTTGACGTGAGGCAGGATCGGCACAGCGCCAACAGGCACGGAACTACATCGCCAACAGGCACGGGACTGCATGGTGTTGAAACTCACTGGCAATACAGGAAGTGCATATGATGATTACTGGTTCAGGGTTCTGGTATTGTGTCAACATCAACGACCCGTCCTTTAATACATCCACACTCCTCTCAGACGATACATCCACACTCCTCTCAGACGACGGGTCACGCTGACACGAAATGTCGTATACATCAGTGGTGATTAGGACATGTCCTATTTCGTCTTGGAACCCCACTCTGATGTCAGGGTTGATGTTGAAGGATGTGATGTGATGTTGTTTCTGTGTGTTAAGGTCACGCTATGGTGACACACAGGAAGTCACTACTGAGCTGCTTCCTGTGACGATATGGTAGGAAACAGTCAGTTCCGTGTTGTCTTAGATCCTTGTAGATATATTCAACTCTGACACAGTTGTAGGGAAAGATAACAGCAACACAGACCGTGTATTGTTCTCGCATGTTTATAAGGTAAGATACAAAGTGGACATTTAGCAGCATAAGCGCTCAATGTGGTACAAACAGTCTGACACTTCTAACTGCACATGGAGGTCGTATCACTTTCTTATAAACATGACCTTACAATGATGAGGTTCTTCAAATCAGAGGTGTGCTGTCATTATTTGAAACCTGTAATTTATTTATGAGATTCTTAGCATTCGAAATAGCTACTGGCCCACTAGCCAAATGCTACCTGATTGTGAATCGGGCCAGTAATATATTGTTAAAGCTATCCCAACTGGCTAGCTGCAAATCTCAGACAATTTGTTCTTTATATAATGCAGATGAATATGATGAAGTCAATTATTAAGGTGTTAAAAGTCCATCAGCAAATGTTGCATGACATTTTCACAACAATTTTGACCGATGTGCATTTTGGTATTGATATTTTGAAGGGCCAGTGAAGTATGGTGTGGGCTAGCAACACTTTCACTTACCTAGCCCTTTTGGCCAATGACTTTTCAAAATTAATTCATGTACTGGAGATTCTGGAGGTCTCCAAATTAAGCCTTATTTGCTTAATTGCACTCAGTAATACAAACTAAACATTTGTTAAAAAGTATATTTTGTATTTGATTTTATTTTTCAAGTTCATGATGTAATTTACGACAGTGTTTAATCTATCCTAGGTTTTGATTAATGACAAGCTGAAATCATGTCAATGTTTCCTTGCAGTGTTCCTAGTAAGATGGAAGTGCTTGGACTCATAACATCAAACTGCTTCAGTCAGAAAAGGAGAATTATAGGGAAATAGAAACACAATGTTAAACTGAATTACAATTAAAGATAGTATTTTGTCAGTGTATTTGTCATGTAATTCAGAAACCACATGATCAGTAGATCTTTAACTTTATGGAGGAGTATGGTTATCATGTAACTTTGATCTGGTTATGTGGAGAGCTTATTTCCAAGAATGTAAGACAGTGAGAGAGTCAGATACTTGATGTATATTGCATAGTTCCAATGATTATGGCAGACATTTATGGTTTCCAAAGTTCAATGTTTGCCTGATTTTTCTTTCAATTTATTCAGAGGCTGAACATTAGATAACTTGATGATGGATACACAACTTTTTTATTCTCTGAAATGCAGCGTTTTGACATAGATTCTAATGTCATTGTCAAGCAAGTGATATTAGAATCTGTGTTGAAACGTCGCCTTTCACAGAATAAAGAAGTTGTATATTAATAAAATTATCATCATTCTTCATCACCTCAACTTCTACAATGCCCATGAAGGAAGGCATGGTATAACATATATAACAGTTAATTATATATCCTGCCTTACATTAATTTATTCATAATAAATGATAATCATATTTCTGTATGATGTACTAAGATAATGTAATGACATGATAATCCTGTCATTAACCTGTGTTTGCACTTACATTGATGTCTGATTGGTGAGCTCGGGACTGTGAACAGCCTTCATTACCTTATTACCCCACGGCGCTAACCATCTGTCCCTCCTGCTTCCAGGAACTGCTGTACATACAGGAGGCTGAGATACGAGACCTCGGCATCAAGAACAGTGCTCATCGAGCCAAACTTGTCTCCAGTCTGAGAATCCTACGGGACAAGTACCAGAAAGGTTGGTTGCAACACATTGTTATGTGTTATTTCCGTTGTTGTGATTTTGGTGTTGTTTTAGTTTTTAGTCAATGTTTTGTTTGCCATCAAATCCTTTCTGAATTGATTAATGGGTATTAAATCTGGGTTCTGCTACATAAGAATTCTGTACTGTACATGGGTGATATGGGTAGAACAAGCACTTGTTCCAGTTGGTTCAGATGCTGCTGGTAGGCTGCATACCTCTTGGCAGACACCTTACATATCAACATGCTGAAGTCCCTCACATGTGCTCTATTTACGTCATGACTGGTAGTGTGCATCCCTCTTTTTAACCCGTAAAGAGGGACGAGACATCTTACTGAGCTACTACAGGCTGACATAGCCTCAACGGCAAACCAGGATGTTAAGCCTCATTTCAATTCATCTCCTTAGCCAGGGTGCTAAAGTTATATTGCAGTGCTCAGGAATGTATGTCTGATGGACAGGGGTGTCTGTGGGGCAGGGCTGGGCTGGGCTTGTGATGTGGTTGTCTGTGATTTGGGGTGGGTGGCAGGGTGATTGTGATGTGGGGGTGGCTGTGTGTGTGGGGCAGGGCTGGGTTTGTGATGTGGGGTGGCTGGGTGTGATTTGGGGTGGCTGTGGGTGTGTCAGCAGGGCTGGGTTTGTGATGTGGGGGTCACTGTGGATGGGTGTGTGGCAGGACTGGGCTTGTAATGTGGGGTGGGGTGGATTTGGGGTATGTGGCTGGTCTTGTGGTGTGGGGGGTGGTTGTCTGTGATTTGGGGGTGGATGGGTGTTGGGCAGGGCTGGGATTGTGATGTAGGGGGGCTGGGTATGATTTGGGGGTGTGGGTGTGGCAGGGCTGGGTTTGTGATGGTAGGGGTGGGGCAGGGGATTTATGTGGCTGATCTTGTGGTGTGGGTGTGGGTGTGGTTGAGTAGGGTTTGTGTGTGGCTGTTTGTGTGCAGAGTCTCCAAGGTGTGGCTGGTCTTGTGGTGCGGGTGGATGTGTGGTAGATTAGGGTTTGTGTGTGGTGAGAGTCTCCAAGGTATGACTGCAGAACAACTGCCATCTTTATTTCTTGATGTATTGTACATGGAACACTGAATGGATGTGATCAGTGTATTTTCAGAATATTTTGTCTTGACATACTGGAGAAATAAGTGGGCACATTGTAGGGCAGCCATGATTCATGTAAAGACTTTGTATTTGGGGGTTAATTGAGTTACAAATTGAAAAAACAACCACCAAAGTGTCTGAAGACGACATATTTTTTTATTCAAGAGTAATGAACAGAAGGTTTTTTGCTCTCAAGCCAATCAAATTGCTGGAAATTATGTAGCACTTGAAAATGCTGCTTTCCTCGTTGCTCCTTGACTGCAAGCAGCTGTGAAGTGCTTTGTATGCATCAGTTCAAACAGCAGGGAATAAACCGTTTGATCCCACAAGACGCTGGCTGTCGTGGGAGCAGGGGACTCCCTTGACATAGTCTCATGTGATCCACCAGAACATCATATGACCCACTTTACTGTCATGTGACCTACCACACTGTCATGTCACTCATCATACTGTCATGTGACCTACCACACTGTCATGTGACTCACCATACTGTCATGTGACCCACCACACTGTCATGTGACCCACCATACTGTCATGTGACCTACCACACTGTCATGTGACTCACCATACTGTCAAGTGAACCACCACACTGTCATGTGACCTACCATACTGTGACCTACCACACTGTCATGTGACCCACCATACTGTCATGTGACCTACCACACTATCATGTGACCCACCATACTGTCATGTGACCCACTATGCTGGCATTGGACCTGATATATTGTCTTGTGACCCACTCTACCATATTTCCCATTCATGTGCAACTTCAGCAATTTCTTCAGCATGTGACCCGACATGAAATATTACTTGTACCTTCACCAAGGTCTGAAATTCAGCGACCATGAACTCACATTCAAACTCATATATTCCACACGAACATACACCACTTCACCTAGTCTGATTGATTCCTATTACAAAGAAGGAGAAGCCCAATACTGTAGCTGATATGGGATATGAGAACACACTCCATCTTGAAGAGTCTGCGATCACCCAACATACCTGAAGGTTTAACGTAACACGTTCTCTTAATGCTTATACAAACATATCACATGCACTCTCCACCCCAGGCCCTGGAGACCGAGCCACTGGGATTTATTATAATACACTAACGATGGCCTCTGATGTATGACTAAGCCCAGCTGGAGTCTATTATTCAGTTCAGGAGAACATTCTTTCATCATGGAGGTAACACAACCACAAAACATCTGGAGAGGAATGTGAACTCAACACATCTCATATCCAGTTTTCATCTTCATTGATGAGGCTGAAGAAAACGAACAAATTTTTGATTATTATTTTTTCTCATCAGTTAATGGTGAAATCATGTTGAAGATTCTGTTTTTTGCTTTTGGAACAGGAAGCTGCACATCTGTCAAAATATGGAAGCTAGGTTTTCTTAAACTGACACAGAGTTACTGTCGCAAAAAGTGAACTCACTGATCTTGTCTGACCGTAGATCGTCAACTGGAAAGAACTTGTGCCTTAAATATTGATTGAATGATTTAACATATTTTGATAACATTCTATGTGAACGAGTAAAAATATTATGATGATCTGGAAAAATGTTTACATCAACACTGAGCAGACGCTAGATTGTGGCAGCTGTCATTATAGATGTGGAAAAGTCATCCATGGCATTGAATCTTTGACTGCATTGAAATCAAAATATAGTCATATGTTCAAATTGCATTTAGATCAACTCTGATGATGGCAACTGTCTTTATAACACTGGAATGTCATGCATTGAATCATTGACTTGACTTAAAACAATGCGTAGTAACAAGAAATAGTCGAGAATAGTTAGCTACAGTTGAACTAGGCATGAGTGGGTATCAATGTATGTACAGTTGAACTGCAGGCTGATACTAGCCCAGACTGACAGTTGGTTTTGCAGGCTGATGGGTGATAAATGTATATACAGTTGAACTGCAGGCTGATGGGTGATAAATGTATGTACAGTTGAACTGCAGGCTGATGAGTGATAAATGTATATACAGTTGAACTGCAGGCTGATGGGTGATAAATATATGTACAGTTGAACTGCAGGCTGATGGGTGATAAATGTATGTACAGTTGAACTGCAGGCTGATGGGTGAAAAATGTATATACAGTTGAACTGCAGGCTGATGGGTGATAAATGTATGTACAGTTGAACTGCAGGCTGATGGGTGATAAATGTATGTACAGTTGAACTGCAGGCTGATGGGTGATAAATGTATATACAGTTGAACTGCAGGCTGATGGGTGATAAATGTATGTACAGTTGAACTGCAGGCTGATGGGTGATAAATGTGGTTGAATTGGAAATGAAGATCAATTTGAGGTATGAGTATGTTTATACTAAATATCATCTCATTCAAGTTGCAATTGTGAAAACCATGAAAGCACCCCAGCAACATTATTGCAACCAATTTTTTATTAACTATCATATTAGGACAGTAATTAAATAATTACAACAGTAATAATAATTAAATCATTATAAATAATTAAAAACAACTTTGCGTTTGTGTGAATGGTGAGCGAATGGTTTGTCTTGTTTCGGTAAAATTTACACCTGTATCCATGAGATTTCTGCATATATTCTGTCTGAGCAGTTCCTGGTTGGGTAGTCTTTACTGTAACAGGGATTCAGAAATAAAATTTAAATTACAAAAAAAACTTATCATATTAGGCAGAAGCTTGTTGCACAACAAGGAAGGGAGAACCGAGGGGTTGGTATAGAATATGTCTGCAAATATGTCAGTGGGCCTTAGCTCTGGGAGTGAGTGAGTTTAGTTTTACGCTGCACTGATCAATATTCCAGCTATATGGCGGTGGTTTGTAAATAATTGAGTCTGGACTAGACAATCCAGTGATCAACAGCATGAGCATCGATCTGCGCAATTGGGAACCAGTGACATGTGTCAACCAAGTCAGCGAGCCTGACCACCCGACCCCGTTAGTCGCCTCTTACGACAAGCATGGGTTACTGAAGGCTCATTCTAACCCGGACCTTCACGGGTTCTAACCCGGACCTTCACGGGTGCACAACAAGGAAGGAAGAACTAAGAGGTGGTGTAGAATATGTCTGTAAAACTGTCAGTGGGCCTTAGTACTGGGAACACATTCACTTTCACATTGAAAACAAATTTGAATCACACCATGATGCAGTCCCTTTGCTTAAATTATTGGTTGAATCCAACTTTGACTTGACTTTGCCTTATACTCCTGACATAGACTGACTGACTGAGTTTGGTTTTACGCCGCTTTTAGCAATATTCCAGCAACATCACAGCGGGGGACACCAGAAATGGGCTTCACACATTGTGCCCATGTGGGGATTCGAACCCGGGTCTTCGGCGTGACGAGCCAACGCTTTAACCACTAGGCTACCCCACCGCCCCTCCTGACATAGACCATTTCTGGTGTCCCCCGCCGTGATGTTGCTGGAATATTGCGGCTTAAAACCAAAACTCAGTCAGTCAGTCCTGACATAGAACTCAAGGGTAGAGGATACACTGAACTGTTCAAGTTGTTGTTAACTTTTGTGCATCCTATCATCCTCATTATCTTAGTGGCCGCCTCCCTGGTGTAGTGGTTAAAGTGGCCGCCTGGAGTGCGGAAGGTTGCGGGTTCGATCCCCAACCGCGTCATACCAAAAGACGTTAAAATATGGTACTTGTTGGTCCCTGCCTGGCGCTCGGCATTAATGGGTACAACAAGGACTGGTCGGCTTGGAGTCAGTATAATGTGTCTGAGTGGTGTATTCATGCTTCACTGCGGCATGGTATCTCAGTGGTCTAGCACTATAAAACCAGCTTCAGTCTGGGCTAGTACAAGCAGCCGCACATACACATACATACGCATGCACGTCGTCATATGAGCGAAATATTCTCAAGCACGACGTTAAACCCAATT